AAGGTTGACTTTCACCAAAACAGAATGGGTATTAAAGCCACGACCAACACCGTGATGCACTTGTACAGCATCTTTCAGAGAATGAAGCGAAAACTCACATGGGAAATAGGGAGAGGTAGGAGGAAGATGATCGAAGGCATGGGGAAAGAGGTAGATTTTGTACAAGGATTTTGAAAGCAGTGAAGGGAGGCAAATAGGTAGAGGAATTTTGGAAGACATTTCTAGGATGCGAGACATAATAGACTGAATGACGCTGATGGATGGAAGTATGGAGAACGTGTAGTCTGGTGCACCACCATATGGGTAAAAAAGAACTAGAATAGTTAGATCCCTAACTGTGGTGCTTTGCTATTCCACCCAGTATTTGTTTATGTGTGTGTTTTTTGGGGGTTGGGGAGAGAAAAGAAAGAGAGAGCCAACAGCTCACGAGACATAAAAGGTAATTCTTCATGGTTTCCCCTTTAACTGATGATATATCTAGAGACTGTGCTGTCATCAAGTAGGAAAAATTGCCTACATTACATTATCTCTATTTTAGATCTCAGAAAAACAACAGATACCCTGATACTATATGATATGATACTCAGATACCATACCATGTAACTTCAACTAATGTCATACAGTTCTTGATTTGAGTTTTATACCAAAAACAAGCAAAAAAAGCTTTAGGTTAGAACTGATACATATTTAAAAACAGGGTGAAGGTTTGAGTCAACGGTTTTAAAACTTAAACCTTGTGCTGGAATATGATGATACAGGGACACCTTGTCATAACCACAGTTGGAGGGTGGGTCCACTGGCTCACCGACCACATTATAATTGGAGCATGGAAATCTGGTTGATTTCCAGGCTGTTTGAGATTACTTCCTGCGCCGCATATTCACAGGAAGAGACATCCGACGCAACCTGATCACCCTGACGTTAATTTTTTTTTAGTGTGTTTCTTTTTTAAAAGGTCAGAGATTTTAGGAGAGCAGGAGGGGAATATCACTGCCCCCTTTCCCTCAGTAAAAGCACTAGTCTTAGAACAAAGATGAATGAATGGGGGTATTCAATATCATAAATTAATCTAAGTACTGTATTTCATTATTCAACATTGTAGGACAGATATTTTCATTTGCTTTATTCCAAAACAAAAATAGGTAATGAACTACTGTATAAATATTTTCATTGATGCAGAAATCAGTATTAAGAGAATCCAATTAGCTTATTAGGATGAGGTATAAATCATTTGCACAATATGCCTCTCTTGTGGCTACTTTTATTCTAAGACAATTTTAATAGCATAGAACTGTATGTTCAGCTAGACTTGCAAATTGCTATTACTTATGTTTGATGGGCTTATTGATGAAGCAAAAAATTATTTATTCTAAAATGGAATTAAAAAGTTGTTTAAAAAACTTTATGGAATTTAATTTGAAAACATTCATTTTTATCTCAGAGGAGTTTTGGTCAGAAAAGTGTTTTTTTTTTAAATTGTGATTAAACTACGTTTCCAGTCATACAAAGATTTTACAATTGTATAACATTTTACTTTTTAAAACAGGATTTTTTACTATCAATTTTAAATTAAAGTATTTAATTTTCTTCCATCAAAGTCGAGGTGGGCCGAATGATTTTTTTGGTGGTGGAGGCTGTTGCCATTAATGTAAATTAATCTTCATTATTTTGCTCAACGAATGCCTTAGGGCACAGGATGAAACTTAATATACACCAGGTCTTGCTGATATGAGCTTTAACAAATTTGCACAAACTGCACTGTGGACTAGCAGGAACTAGGAATCATGGCCAAACCTACCTAACTTCACTCCTGTGAATATGATCAATGATTTTCCAAAGTCTTTTACTGACCATCTTACACAGAGACTCTGGACCTTCTGACATAATCCTGCCATGGGATAATCCGGCCTGGTTAACAATGACTGTGTAGTGAAATTTCAAAAACTTTTTAGATTAATACTGTAAATCGGAAATTCTCCAAAATAATAATAATCTTTGCATTTGATATAGGCCTTATCACATCTTCCAGACATCTCAAAGCAGTTCACAGAATATACTGTAAAGTGAATTGACGGCATATTTTGTGGGCGAAACCATGGAAAAGCAATCCGCCAATCGACTAACAACTGGGTTTCTACTTACTGCTAGATAAACAAAGGCGTGTGGAGTAAGAAAACTTGCCCAACGTTTTGCCCTACCGGGAATCAAATCCAGGTCCTCTCACTTGCAAGGCAAGTGCTCTAACCACTAAGCTACAGAACTTCACATATCCAGAGATTCCCAAGCACTTTGGTACAAAATAACTCTTGTGCTGATTACAGCTCCTCTCACAGCTCATTCACGTTCTGCGCTGTGCAGCCGGCAGTACGATACTGTCTGTCTCTGTCAAAAAGCTAACCAGGGAATCACTTAAGGTGATGGAGTTGCTCTTTCTGTGTGTGTTCTCATTGTAAAAGGCTAACCTGCAGAAGACAAGATCATGTGCTTGTTGGCGCTTCCTTTGCCAAGGTTTGCAGTCTATTCAAGAGTAATTTAATCAGGATGAGGATCATGTTTATTGCCAATTGGTCCCCAAGAGATCCCATGCTTTAGTTATCACTACTGTGTTTGAGTTTCGGGATTAGTAGCAGCGAAACATTCAATTCATAAAGCAAAAAACCTCACCGCACTGCTATTTTAAAATTCTAGCTCATGGGTGGTATTATGCAAAATACATTCAAAAATTGAATGGGAAAAGATACACATTGCAGTAAATTAAATTTCTCAGGATCCCAGTTCCACACAAACAACAAAAAGTATAAATTACCACAAACATTTACAACACTTATTATCGATTTACTAACCCAGTGATGGCCAACTTGCAGCCCGCTTGACGATTTCAGGCATGTGTAATGCTTTTAGTCACAGAGCACTGTATCTGTGAATGGGAGGATTTCCCTTCCATTACAAGTGTTGTTCTAATGACAGAATTTTGCCCTAAAGGTAGTTTTAATTATTCAGTTTAAAAATTATAAGGCAGTTTAGTCGTCTACAGATGTTCCCCAACATAGTTAGGATAAAATCCCCATGTCCACAATTGGAACCTTGTCTTCTTTGCCCCAACCCTCCTGCTCCTGTTCTTAGACAATACGAGAAGGGCACTATATAAATGCAAGTATAAATGTAAAGCAACCTGTGGCTTACAGGCCGATGAGGCCGTCAAGAAGTCAAGGGCCCCCGAATATTCACACAAGTCTAGAAGAGTTTGTGTTCGATTGGTAGTGTATTTTCTGTTTTTTCTTGATTAAATATTTCTAGATTTATGGCATAATTCAAGAAATGTTCAATCACGAAAATATATTTTATTGGCTGACCATAAATGTTGGCCACCACTGCTGTGGAACATTTTGTTCATCTCAATATGCATTTCTCCATATAAACATTACGAGCGTTACTAACCAAATAACCAGTTCTTATGGAGTTGGAATATACAATGAAGTTGAGAATCAAACTGTATCTCTGGTTTAGACGTCTAATGCTCCATCAACAGAACTAACGAGCAACATAGTTGTAAATAAAGGCTTAAGCTTTGCTTTTTTTCCTACATTAATGATACAAAAGAGATGGCAGAAGAGTTTCCAAGCTGTATGTGATGAGACTGTACTCAGAAACACATCACCCAAAACTGAAAGATCCAACACATACCATTACGCATTTAGAACAACAGAAGAAGTCTTCAAGTCAATGACACAACTTATTTTAACAGTGAAATATCACTGCAAGACAGACACTGTGGCTTCATGAGGTGTAGTGTAATTGTGGACTACTGTCAAACGTTTCTCACTAATTGCAGTAGCATTCAACAACATCAAAAGTGTAAGGCTAACACATTGTGTTCTGTGAGGGAAAATTAATGGCCACTTTAATTTGAGTTAAACATCCCTTGATGGAACTTGGCTATCCTGTCACAGGCCAGTTGTCTTACCATCACTCTACTCACTTCAAGATTAATTGAAACTTTTGAATTTTTGTTTATGAATTGAACTGAAATGCACACCAAAAGTTATGATTATGATGCTAAGCGGGATTAAAGCTCTGAGACATTATTCTACGAGAGGGGCACTATATAAATGCAAGTATTAAAATATCATACAGGGCTAAATACAGTAAACTCCTGATAACAAGACACTGGCTTAACTAGTCACTGTCACTTACCATTCTTTCAATATTCCAACTACTTACAATGCAAAATGTTACTAAGGGACTGGACTCCGCTTGACATGTCACTCTACTTAACATATAATTAGTCGCATTCTAGAAATCCTTGTAAGTACTTACAATATAAAGTTGATCAGATAACTAGTCCTATAAGATGGCATCTTGCATCTCAGAGACCTCCTCCCCATCCTAATGATTGGTGCAGGTGCTGGAGACCTCTGGTCTGTTGGAGGGCCGCGCTGTGGCTTTCTGCCTCACTTCCTACCCTATCCTGTAGCTCAGTGGTTGGAACCCTTGCCTTACAAGTGAAAGGACCTGGGTTTAATTGCTGTGTGCAATTAGCAGCTGCGTTTCACCCACGAATTATACAGTCAATTCACTTTGGACGTCCTTCCGACTTGAAAGGCACTATACAAACGTAATTTTGTTGGCGGAGTTGTTGTATATTCTGTGCAGTGCTTGGAGACGTCTCGAAGACGTCTCGAAGGCTTACTTGCACAAAAAAAAGGAAACAAAACCAAATATTAGTCCCATTCGAAACACACTGTGGTTTACTGAGACCTGAAAACAAAGGACAATGAAGCACACTCAATTATTTTATAACAAACTAACTCTAAAAGAGTATTAAGAGTAAAAGTACTTATCTTTTTGTTCTGTTTAACCAAGCATCAGCAAGACCAATGGTTACCAATTAAATATTCTCCCTGATGGTTGAGACTAAAGATTCAGTATTCAGAACCAGCTAAAATAAATCAGGCCAAGATTTTTTAAAAATATTGAAGTATTTGTTATACTTAACTCACCTTTACTGGGGTCTTCTGGAAGCTGTGATTCGTGTTCCGTACATTCTGGAGCCTGTAGTTCTTTTTGTGCTTCTTCAATTTTATCTGAAAATTAAAAATAAATGAATGTTTCTATGGCAAATAATAAAGAATGAGACAGAAAGACATCTGCAACAATATTCATTTAACAGAAAAGATATTTTGGACAGTATGGGGAACTCTCCAGTTTATGAAAAGTTGGAAGCTTTTAACCTAAACACAGACCTCCAGCACATGGAAACAAACGGGTAATGTTCATCCCCCTCTCCCCCCACCATCAAATTCTATACGTCTGGATAGTTCACTGATTTTTCAAACTTCTGCAAATTTAGTTGGTTTTCTTTGCACTAGTTTGTGAACTTTCTGTACTTAAGGCATACAAATAAGTGTTGTAACCCTATTGTCCATAGCGTAAATTAAGAGCACTCTTGGTACAGCATCATTTTACTATAAACAGACTGAATGCACAAAGATAGTCGTTAGTTTGGATCAATTGGCAGCCTCTCGGTCACTGTTCAGTGTCCTGAAAATAAATCTATACTTTTGATCAAGTGTTTGACTGCTAACTTGCAGCATTTATTTGGAAAATCTAACCAAAGTTTGTGTACCAGTCACATTACTTACTTATTTCTATAACACACATAGCTGCAAACCACCTGAGAAATGAGCAGAGGCCAAAGCTGTTGCCAGACAGCTTGAAGGCCATAGAATAAGTGTTTACTCCATTCCTTTGCCTCAATTGTTCACTATAATGATGTACTTTAATGATGACAAAGATAATGTCCCCAGTTTTCAAAAAATGCATCAAAAGGCTTAAAAGATGTGCAGCTAGTAATCAAGAAATCAAGGCAATAAATTTAATGTATGGATGATTCCTCAAAGTCCTTGAACCTCGAAAGACAATATGTTGGAAGCAGACAGGAAAACTACTGTAAACAGGATTTGTTCTTCAGGAAAACAATCTCATACCCTCTAAGTATTCCGGATATAAAACATGAGCATCGCAGGCTTGCAGTACATCCTGTTATTCAGGGAATTCAACTGACCAACAAAGACTTAAAAAAACTTCTCCGTGGTCACAAGGTCCTTGCAATTAATTAAACATACCTTTGTGATGGCCAATTAATTAAACATACATTTGTGATGGCCAGTTATTTTTCCCACACAGAAAATTGGATATTTATTTCAAATTCATAAGCAGTTTGCAACTTAGCTTTCCATCAAGTTGACAGTGATCAAAGAGCTCCTACATTAAGGGAAACTAATAATCAACAATTGATCTCAATGCAAACTCACATAGTCAGATCGTTTGCTAGCACAGAGGGTCACTTACAAACGGATGATATGCCAGAGAAATGGCAATTAAAGAGAACAGAAAGCTGCAAAATAAGTTTTTTTTAAAAAAAGCTGATATCTGCTCATATACTGAACATGCCAAAAAAAAACAGTCTCTACCCTCTACAGCACAACCCTGTGATGCGCCTTGAGATGTTTTGACTATAAGGCACAATATCAAATGCAAGGATTATTATGAAGTAACTGGAGCAAACATTTCCACAGTACTTATTCTGCAGAATTAATACTACCTGAATTTTTCATTCAGACTAACAGAAATGACATACTGTTCAACACAAAAACATTTTTGTAGTATTGATAAGCTAAATTAATTAGCATAAAAACCAATATATTTTATTTAACCAGCGAACAAAATAAGTCATTCAATTTAACAGTAATACCTACAACACCCTCAACAACAACAACAAATTACGTTTGTATTGCGCCTTTCACGTTGGGAGGATGTCCCAAGGCTCTGAACAGTCAGGGATCTGCACCCGAGCTGGTGGTTAGGATCAGGAGGAAATGTAAGCCGGGGAAGGGTAGGAGGGTGACCGAAGGCATGGTTGAAGAGGAAGATCTTGAGATGGGTCTTGAAGGAGGAGGTGAGGCGGAACTGTGCGATGGAGTTCCAGAGGGTGCTGGCAGAGAGGTTGAAGCCCCGCCCGCCAAAGGTGGGGCGGGCATGGTGGTGGACTTGAAGGGAGGCTGCAGCCCGCTGAGCGGAGGGAGTGGGACAGGTTGGTAGGGGGTGAGGAGGTCACAGAGGTAGGCAGGAGCAAGGCCGTGGAGGGCCTTGAAGGTGAGGACCAGGATCTTAATAAGTATATTAAATAAATAGAATCTATGAAGTCTTACGTGCACATAGAAGATTCACCAGCTGAATCAATCTCTACACAGCTGAGATCAAATATCTGGAAATACTTCGAATCTATCTCCACGCATGACTCAATATACTTTGTCTATTGTTTGGGATTGTGTGTAAGCATTAAAGTATAGTCAATGGAAGTGCAAATCATAATTTTCATATTCAAGCACTGCTAAGATGATTTCATGAGATGTCAACAATTATACTGGATGTAATTTAACTACTATCATAATCTGATGTCACATAAGTAGTGTTTCTGTCATTCAGGTACGTAGCTTTCATTCATTCAGTAGCTGAAAACAAAGCAAGGAATAGTGTTTCTTTTCAGCTGGAACTATAACTGGAAGCTTTGTAATGGAAGAATGGGATGGCCATCGATCCACGTTAAGTTCATACAGCAACAAATACATTTACTACATAATCCAATTTCAGAGATCCCTCTTTCTGCAACTTGATGTTATAAAGAGAATCAACTCAAGTTGCTCCAGGAGACTGGTATGTAAAGAAAGAGAGATGGTACGAACATTTAGCATCGTTTAGCTTGAGGATACATTCCCCATGGATTTGCCTCCTAATTTGTCACTATGTTCTTTGGAAAAAAAAATGAAATTGTAAATGCGATCCTATCCCTAAAATTAATGGACATCAATGTTTCTAATCTCAAAATATTTTCTGTTAGCAAGGCTATTTGATCTACTATGCTTCCAATATGAGTGATTACTACAGCTTGAGGTTCTGGTCATGTGTGTAGTCAATGGCATGGAGCCCAAACGCATGATGGCATTGCTTAATGTAAATCCAGTACCTTGTGATGCTTATGTGATATCATAAGCATCACAGGCTACTGGATTCTCAGACAAAAGAGAATCATGCAGAATGACTGTCATGTCTATTTCTCATTTTGCGTCAGTGATCTTTGAATGTCAAAGCAATATAGGACCACTTCTCCAGTATCTTAGGATCCAAAGCAGAATTCCTTGTATTGAGGTTTGTAACCTAGTTTCTTGGTAAATATCGCCGAGGTCCATCTTTGGACTTCCACGTTGAAATTAAGCAGGGCCAAATGGAGCGTTTTGCTCATTTGGCCGTACTCTGAGTCTTGCATTTGCCATAATTTGCCACATTATGTTCCAGCTTTGGAAGTACAAGTATAAATGAATCAAATGATGCTGCTCCCTTTTGAAGAATGGAGAACTGTTGTGAAAGGCATTAATAGTAATGATAATAACAACAATAATAATCCTTCAATCCACCACCTCTCCTCTCACCTCAACCTTCACGGCTCTGTCCTTGACTGGTTCAGATTGTACCTCTCACACCACCTACACTTCATCTCCACAAATGATTTCTCCTCTAGCCCCCACACCATCTTGTGCGGTTTTCCTCAGGGCTCTGTCTTTGGTCCTCTCTTCTTCAATATTTATATTCTCCCTCTTGGGTGACATCATCTGTCAGACATAAAATCCTGAATGAGAGCTAACTTTCTACAGTTGAACATCAACAAGACTGAGGCCCTCCTGATTGGCTCCCGTCAGCACCTCCTCACCTCAGGCACTGATAGCATCACCATCCATGGATGCACACTCCATCTTACTAAGCCAGTCTGGAACCTTGGCATCTTGTTTGACCCTCAACTATCTTTTCTACCCAATCTGTGCCATGACCCGCTCTGCCTCCGCAACATTGCCCGGCTCTGACACTGTCTCACACCGCAGGCCGCCAAAATCTTCATACATGATTTCATTACATCGAGGCTTAACTATGCAAACTCCTTGCTTGTCGGCCTCTCCAACTCCTCCCTGCATAGAACTTTGCAGCCCGTGTCCTCTTCCGCACCAGGCTCCGTGACTCTATCAACCCCATCCTCACCCGACTCTACTGGCTTCCCATCACACAGAGGATACAGTTCAAGATCCTGGTCCGCACCTTCAAAACCCACCATGGTCTTTCCCCATGTACCTCTGCGACTTCCTAACCCCCTACAATCCTGCCCGCTCCCTCCGTTCAATGCTTCACATCCCCCGCCTCGCTTGCCCCACTATTGGCAGATGGGACTTCTGTCATTCTGCCCCCACTCTCTGGAACTCCATCCTGCAGTCCCTCCACCTTGCCCCCTCCCTTGCCTCCTTCAAGACCCTCCTCTTCGACTGTGCTTTCGATCACCCTGCTTTCCCCTGCCCTCCACCCTCCCCGAACCCGACCTCCAGCTCGGTCCGAAACTCTGACTGTCCAGCGCCTTGGGATGACCTCCCGATGTGAAAGGCGCTTTACAAATGTAATTTTTTTGTTGTTACATTTGATATAGCGCCTTTCACATTAGGAGGACCTCCCAAAGTGCCTTGCAGGATATATTGTAAAGTGATGCGACTGTGTGGTGTTTTGTGAACACGTACGGTTAGTAGGTGATGCTTAGCTCTGGGCCTCAGCAGAATTCCATGCGCAAAGAAGCTTTGAGGGTGTGAAGCTAAGATTTTGATGTCTACAGCTTCTTACCAGTCACCCTGTATGGAGTAAATAAACTATTGATTCCAATAGAACTCTAGTTTCAAATACACCAGGAAATCAGGTGCAGGCTGACGTGGATATGATGGTGGTCTGCCACAGAACAAGAAGTCATGATACATCACGGAGCTGGTTAATTAACAGTTTAGAATTACAGATCCAGATACAAGTTAAGAAGGAGAATCTATATGCAAGTTAGGTCTTGCCACATTTGGAGTAGAAGGGCAGATTTAATTTGCATCTAAGTTTTGCGTTCAAAGAGGCAAATTTAGGAGGTACATTTAATATTCAATGCATCAAATATACCAGGTCATAAAAGGTGAGGGAGGAGCCCGTCAGGTCCTAGCAGAATTCTCAACGG